TCTTTTCTTTCCATTCAATCAACTTTCTCATCTTACAAATTTTGACAGATTGAAATCTTTCAAACAAGTTTTCTCTTTATATTTATTCCATAATCATGTAGTTGAAATTATTGACCGAACATTTCCATATGTCAAGGTGAGAAGTCACTCTGAAATCAATTGATCTTCGTTCGAATCTAATTTATTCAACTTTTTCAATGATCGATATGAATTTGAACTTTTCCCGAATCTATTTGTTATCACCGAATGAACATCGAAGACAAATGAGCTGATTGTTGAACACACTCATATTTCATTCCAAGTAAAAGCAAAGAGGAAAAAATGAAGCACTAACGATTTCCGCTTTTTTCTTCGTTTCTCTCTCTCTCTCTTTCTCTTTCTTTTTTCTTTATTTCTTTTACTTGTCTTCTTTCTTTTATTTCATCTATCTATCTCTGATTGGTAGATGAGAAGAAAAAGAAATATATATATTTAGATATACATATCTACATATATATTTCTCTTTCGCTCGACAACTTCATCGCTCGAACCAATCAGCGCATTCGACCAGTCAGAATCAATGGAAAGAAAAGAAACATTTAGTTCGTCTCTTTCTTCTTCTTTTATAGGTCATTGATTTGTAAAAAAGAGAAGCAAAAGAAAAAGACGACCGTTGCTGGCCACATTTGTCGTTATTATTTCTCCTTTTTCTTGTCAGTTTTTTTCCATCGTCATCATCATCATCATCATCATCTTCTTCTTCTTTTACTTCTCAGCCTTGTAACTTGATTCAATCAACACACATTATCCTCGTGTGTGTGTGTGTATGTGTAGCTAAAGATTTGCATAAGCAAGCGACAAACGAGAATCTCTCAATCTTCGTTTTACAAAAGAAAATGCGCATCATGTCACATGAGCACAGTCCAACAGGTGATAGTAATTCATCGTCAAGTGTTTTATCTCCTGGTTTATCCCCACCGCGCAACGCCATTTTATCAGGTAAACTCTACGAACATGACCGGCGCGCAAGTATCTGCTCGCAACAATCATCCTATTCAATGAAATTCGAAAAAACCACCTACGAATCAGCACCTGTCGCACGCAACACAGCCGAGAACAATCAAGTCCGAATTATTGACTATCGCGGAACAAAATTAACATCATTTAACGTCGAGGGGCGCGAATTGATCTGTTTGCCACAAGCATTTGACTTATTTTTGAAGAATTTAGTCGGTGGTTTGCATACAGTTTACACAAAGTTAAAACGTTTAGAAGTTATTCCTGTTGTGTGTAACGTTGAACAAGTTCGCATCTTGCGAGGTCTGGGCGCCATTCAACCGGGCGTTAATCGATGTAAATTACTCGCTCCAGCTGAATTTGATATTCTCTACGATGATTGTACAAATTCAGGGTAAGAACACGACGAGAGATTATTAACATAAATATAAAGAGAAAACTTGTTTGAAAGATTTCAATCTGTCAAAATTTGTAAGATGAGAATGTTGATTGAATTGAAAGAAAAGAAAAACATTTTCACTTGAAGAGACGTTTTTCAAGAGAGAGAGACGAGAGGATGTGCAATGAAATGGAAATGTCTTTGAACATTCAACATCGGAAAACATCTTTGCGATACTTAGTGATTAATTAAATATCCTCTTTGTTTCTGTACATTTAGTTCTCGACCTGGTCGACCACCGAAACGCAACTCAGCACATCATATCGATGATTGTCTTGAAGATAAACGGATGAAATTATCATCAAGTCTACTTCTTCGCTCATTTCCCGAATTTGCCAATCAAGGTAAACTGAAAATGAACATCACCATGAATCGTTTTTCTCTATGAAAACAAAATACACTAGCTTTCAAATATCCGGTTCATTCAAATGGCTATTTATCTATTCCATCAACCAATGGAAACCAATCGTCTTCATTTGCACATTCATTTGGCTATTCGGCATTTGCACCAACATTGCCGATACATTTTCCGACAAATCATCATCCATCGCCTTATCTTCTAGCTGAGAATCGCACAACACGTTCGAATGAACCAAATTACAAATCTCCTCCGTCATCATCCTCATCCTCGCTAGCAACTTCAACATCATCTCCATCACATCGAGCTCATTCTTCAAGTAAATAATGATAAAAAAAGAACCTACTCACATTCAATTAGAATAAAATCAGCTTACATACTCAAGTTTCAAATTACTTTTGACTTGAAATCCGAAGAAAAAGAAAGACAGATTTGTTTCTCTCTTTTGCTTTTTTTGAGAGATTTACCCGAGTGGAATAATAATCAGATGAAGAGCAATACCAAAAAAAAAACGAAACAATGACGATGATGATAATGACTTTCTCGTTATCCACCCCGTCAACCTGTTCTCGCTGTCAAAATCTATTTGATGAAACATCTTCGTTTTTCTTATTATTCACTCAGACCGAAAGTAATGGTTTCCGTTTTCACGAATCCCCTATCGACAGAAAGAAAAGAGCCCGCTCGTCGTCGTTATGAGTTCATTATTATCGACACGCGAAACAAATTAAATCATGTCACGGAATCGTACTGTGAAAAGAGCCACTATATAGATACCCTCCAGGCAGTGATTTCTTTTTTCAAATTAACTTGACTTTGTCTACTTACATCTAGTCAGAGAGAATAGAAAGATCGGATAAACATTCTTGCATCTCTCTCATTTTCATTTAGATGAATTACGTTCGTTTACCATTGATGCAATGCTCAGTAACAACAATGGGAAAAGTCTTAATAAAGAAAATTCACAACGAGGTATGTGTGCGTGTGCCTTCGATTATTGATCAATCTGATAACCTTCTCAATTAGATCGATTAATAAAACCAATTGATCTTTCTTCGACATCGACTGATATATCTTCACCGACGAATGACCAAACACCGCCGCCTCCACCAATCCTGTCAACACCCTCGTCATCATCATCATCAGCTCTCCCGACAGCTGCATCATTGAACTATTTTCATATAAAGAATATGATCGAATTAACTGTTGAAAGTGCTCGACTACGAGAAAAACAACTGGAAAATGAAATTGGTAAAAAGATTATTAGAGATTTTAATTATTTCTATTTATATTTTCTTGCTAGTTGATCTACGCAATGAATTAACAAAAGAACAAGGTTCTCGGCAAAAACTTGAACAAGATATTCTGGAATTACGACGTATTCGAAGTAGGAGAAAACTTTAATATAATCTTTTCAAATTAATTTGACTAGATGTGCTTATTAAAAAACTAAAACGCCTTAATCGATCCTCATCGGCTACAGGAAACTGTTCTAACAGTAATGGTGATACCAAAAGTAAGGCAAAGGCTTTGCTAACTTCGAAGAAATATGTTCTTCTTGCTTTTCTAGACGAAATATCATCATCATCATGATTCAGAAACACTTCAAATACTTATCTTTAGTAGACAATAGACATAATGATGGATTTGAACACATCGAATCTCTGTTTTTTTCTCTCTCTTTGTCATTTTATCTGTGTATGCACTTCGTTTTCTCTCCCTCTTCTTGTTTATTCATGAAAAAGCTCACTTATCGAAATTTTTTGTATGTTTGTGATTGAACACACGGGATTATTTCGCAAAATAATTCAATTCTGTACACTTCAACAATTCTACGTTTGATCGAATTCAAATAAAAACGAAAACTACCATTAGTACATTTCATTCGACGTGTCAAACCAAGGAGAAGATTGTTCCTGATCTGAAAAGTACTGGCAGAGATCAACAAGACGTAGTTTTTCAACCAGAAACCCGGTTATTAACTTCTGAGCTTCCCAGAGCAGTTTCAGTTGCTTGATTATTAATATTTACAATACACAGTGAAAAAATTATTGAATGAATCTTTCTGTTGGTGACATCTATCGAGTCATGATAATCTATGGTTACAATTTTCTTCCAGATTGAACCTGAACAACAGTAGATAGGTAACAACTGTTTGTTCGTACGTTCTTCTGATGAATTTTAAATTTCTAATCAATCGCGAAAGACATTCAGTCATCGAATTATTTGTTTATTTCAATTCTTTTCGCATCTGTCACACTCATCATGTGGATGACTCAGTATATGATTTGCAGCGTTGGAAATCGTTTCGATGAATAGAAATTCTGTTCAACCATCTGTTTTTAGATTAAAAATATTTTCAATTCGATTTGAACATTTGTCAATATGAATGAATTATCCAATGAATCAACTTCAACAATCGAATCATCGTCGCCGCCGACAGCAACTGAATTATCACCAGACGAAGTAGGCTTTTTCCGAAGAAAACTATTCTCAAAGCTCATTTTTCACTTTTTCTAAAGCTTCGTCGACGTCGATTAGAAAGATTTTCCAGTGGAAACACACTCAAGACTCAAACATCGGATAACAATGATAAACAAGTTTCCACCCAACTATCGAATGAACTCGCTAGTAAATATTTCATGATTTGCCCTGACTAACCTTATCATTCGATTTCAGCATGTCAAATTGATTCTGAACAACCGAGTTCTGCTGATGTGACAAACATGGATATTGGTGAAATCATTTTTTCCGAAGGAGGAAGTACAAGTGGTGAACAGAGGTTTGTTTTGAATTGTTGTTCTACTTAATTGTCATTTCTTTTCCACGATAGATTATTGCAAAGTCAACAGTCAACAGGTGATAAACGATCTTATGATATAAATTTGACTAGTACATCGAAAGAATCGACGCAATCAAATGAAATTGATAATGATGGAAGTCGAAATAATACAATCAAAAAACGAAAATCTGAAGTATGATTAATACAGTTGATTCTAAGTCGATCTTCTTCTTTCGTACAATTAGAATCAATTGAATAAAGATGAAGAACCTGTTCTTCGTCGTATTCTTCGACAAATAATGAACATAACTGATCAAAATCAGTCATTTATCAATGATCTAATCGAATGTAAGTTATTCGTGGCACGATGTTCAATGTTACAATACTTTATTTTACAGTATCTTCTCAACGTCGATTAAAATCGATTTTATCTGATATATTTCTTCGTTGTTTGACAACTACACAAACAAATACGATTAAATCGTTAATTGGGTAATGTCCAACAATCAGTTCATAAGAAATCGTTCTTTTCTTTTACTTTTTCAGACACGACATGAACTATTGCAATCAATATGATTGTTATCTGTGGTATTTTTTAAGCATCTATACTCGTTGTGATTACAAAAGCTCAACTGTAAGATAGAATCGAGAGTTTTTCTTCATCTAACATTTCTTTTCCAGAGCGAAGAGCGTGATCTTATTGAACATTGTCGATTATTATCCGTGCGATATTCTCTTATGTATATAACAAATAATCAAGTCTTTTTGGATACGTGGAATCGAATGTTGAAATTCGTAGATATCTTACTACATGAATCGTCTTCCGAATATTTACATACATCTTTTTTACACGAAATCGTTCGAATATCCTACACTCAAGAACCGCAAATGAAAGTAATGAGAGAGACTTTTGAAAATCTCATCTACTCTGATTGTTGTTCTTTTAGACTTGTGAAATCCTCGTTCGTGCCATTCTTTATCGTCTTCGTCAAACATGTTCTGAAGCAAACGTCTACATCCGATTGTTGACACTGCTTTTAGCTTTGTGTGAATGTAAAAATGGAAACGATCGACCAGTTTGTACATATCTGGTAGGATTAAACGATTGGTTACCACAAGTTGCATTACAAAATGGCAAAAGTTTACAACGCATGACACTCTTATCGCCTGTTTTTTACATGTCATGTTTTGCAGAAGATGATATTGATCTACTTGTGACGCAACTTGATAAGATCAATGATCAGGAACAAGATGATGAGGTAAAAATGTGTTTTTGATTGATTCAGCAAAAAGTTTTCTCGAATAAATTTTCCTTACAGAACAATCAAGATTATTCTGAATACAAAGAAAAACAAATACGCTCAATCGTTCAAAGTCAATTGTATATTGCTCGAAAATTAATGCACAAAATCGTTCTTGCTTTCTTCTCGAACATCTCCTCACGACAAGCAATGCTGGAATATTTACAAAAGTTCGTTCAATTAAATCGAAAACGAACACATTTAACGGTTAGTTTTCTTTTCTAACTCACACTTAATTTACAGTCTTGAGATGATATCTCGAAGATATATTACATTCATTTATTTCGAACCTTACAGCGATTCCGAGGTCGATATACCTATTCGATATCATTACTTGTCTGATGCATCGATTTCACCTTGTTTTGTTGAACTTGAGTAGACTAAATCATTATATCAATCATGAAAAGAATTTAATAGATTAAGAATATTCAAATATAAATCATGACTATTGAATATCACATTAATCTATCTGTATATCTGTTCAAATAGGACCTTGAAATATACATCGACCTTTGATGATGATTATCTTCATTGAAGCATAGCGTTGTGTTCTAACGAGAATTATCGATTTAGGTTGATGAAAGTCAAATCACAGGAGATGGTTTTATGTTAAATCTGACGTTTGTTCTGCAACAACTTACCTTACCAATCGATGTTGAACGAGTAAGAAAGCATTCTTTCGTTTTCATTTCTGATTTTTCTTCTTCATAGGTCGATTTGAATTATCCATTTTATGCTGATAATTGGTTATCGATTCCAGTCGATCAATCACGGTTATATTCAACAAGTGATGAATTCAAAGCATATCAAGAAAATATCCGTTCGTAGCTAAATTTTCAATCGAATCATTCTCATGTAGTTTCCTTTCAGAAAAACCCAATGAAATACGTTTTCCAACCGAATGTGCATATCTCGCCTTGCATATCAGTCATCTAGGTCTTGTCTCCATCGCCAAGAAACCACAGAGACGAAATAACATTATACGTGAATTGAATAGGTAATGTTGCGTAGAGTTGGATGTTAGGAATTTATTGAAATAAAACGAGATCGAAAAAAACGAACGAACTTAAATAAAACTGACGAAAAAAAAGTAGTATTTTTTTTCTATTGTAGTGCAATTAAAAATCTGGAGCAAACACAAGGAACATGGCGACAAGCTCCAACTGCTGCTCGACATGAGGCTCAATTGGAAAGACTTAAAAGTGAATTAAAGGTAAGGAAATGCAAAAAAGAAAAGTAAACGAAAGGAGATTAATGCCAATGGTTATGAGATATGTACAGAAATAATGTTGAACAGAAACGAAAGGTTTTTTTTTAATTGACGGGTACAAGTGGCGTCAATTTAGGGTCATCTTTACCAGAAACATAAACAGGAAAATCAATGATACGCAATTGTTCAGAATAATTGCCTAGAAAATATGAAGTGAATGAGCAGTCAGAGGAAAGGCCTTCTTCTTTTGACTTACCAGGGACGAATGGTTCACTGTCTTCCATAAGACTATTTCCATATCGAACACTTATTCGAGTTCCCATTTGATTCAAAACGGCAGCATAGTCATAATCGGAATCTTCTTGGAGTTGGTGATGATCTTCGTATTGTTCTCCTCCTTCTAAATAGAGAAAAAACAAAGTGTTGTCAACAAGAACAGTTAAGAGATGATAGAAACTGTACCTTCTACTTGTTTATAAACGACTTTCTTGATGAGAGTTTGCCCTGGAACACAACAACATCTCACACACCATCTATCTTGAGGGTGCTGTTGTTGCTGCTGTTGGTGATGGTATAGTTGTTGATGTTGCTGTTGCTGTTGGTATTGTTCTTCACCCACCATCGGAGGTGGAGGCATTGCTGGTTCCGGTGCTGGTGGCATTGGTGGAAGAGAACCTGCTGGCGGTAGTTCAATACAGAACAACTCTGGTCGAAGGTGTGGCGGTAAATGCGCATATTTCTGTGATTCGGGACATGGTACAAGACACATGCCGGTTTTCGGATCAATCATGGGCACAGTTCGTTCAAAAGTTGCATCTGTTTCATATGCACGTCCATCATCAAGCATGCGGACTGTTGGGACACGAGCTTGCTGTTGTTGTTCTTGTTGATGGATCATTGGTATTGAATTCGATCGGCGCGACTGTTGATCTATTATATGAGATGAAATTTGTTGCGACGACTGATTGGAAATAAGTGAGTCTTGTTGTATTGATACGGGCTCAGAATGTGCTCTGTATCGATGTTGTTGTTGCTGTTCGTCTTCTTCATCTTGTTTACTAAAAGGTATGTTTTCGTATTTTTGTGCCTCAGGTGTTATTTGTGCGGAAACGTGTACATTTGATTGGTAATCAGTTTCATTGAAGGACGAATGCGACGGTGCAGGTATACTGTGGTCGTAAACTTGCTGTTCCTGTTGTTGTTGTTGTTGTTGTTTTTGCTCATGTGCCATGTATTCATTATACGGCGATGGAGTTGTTATAGGTACTAGCGGAATGGCATGATGTGTCGGCGCAGCCAA